TAAGAGTAATAAAGTGAGGTACTTACTTTTCATCATAATAATGAAATCATTGATTTTTTTATTCCATTCGTTGTTGAGACAAATTGTTTTGGGAGTTTGTCAATTGTTCATACAGTTGCAAACATTTATTTTAGAGATTATTACAATCAATCTCTCATATATTATCTTGCATTTATATACTTTGAATTACTGATTTAAATAAACAAATTCAACATTCAATTACTTATTCATGAATATCTCCTATATAATCTTGCATTAATATACTTTGAAATACTAATTTAAAAATAATCATTGGGCACATTATTCCATTTGTGCAATGCGCATAAAACAACTATTAACAGGGCGTTTGGTTGGAGGGATTTTAAATTCCCTTCTCACTTAATTCTCACATAATTCTAAAGGCCATTAAATTCCGTAGTTTGGTTGGAGGGAATTGCAATTCCCCCATTTTCATGGAATTAAAATCCCATGTCCCTCCTGGGATTTTAATTCCTGGGAAAAAAAGATAGTGATGAGTCAAAATTACCCCTTCATTTTTTAACTTAAAATTAATGTCTAACAACAATAATGGACATTTTTTACTTTATACTACTTAGCGTTTGGTTGGAGGGGGGAATTATGTGGGAAATGAATTGTAATTCCATGGGAGTTGAATTACTGGGAATAAAGTGGGAATTTAAATTCCAGTGTTTGGTTGATAGGAATAGAATTACTGGGAATTTCAATTCCAATGTTTGGTATACATGGGAATTGAAAGAGAATAAGTAGTATAAAGTCAAAAATGTCCATTATTGTTGTTAGACATTAATTTTAGGTTAAAAAAGGAAGGGGTAATTTTGACTCATCACTATCTCTTTTTTTTCCAGGAATTAAAATCCCAGGGGGGACATGGGATTTTAATTCCATGAAAATGGGGGAATTGCAATTCCATGAAATTGTAATTCCCTCCAACCAAACTACGGAATTTAATGGTCTTTGGAATTAGGTGGGAATTAAGTGGGAAGATAATTTAAAATCCCTCCAACCAAACGCCCTGTTATTCCCTTTCAATTCCTATGTATACCAAACATTGGAATTGAAATTCTCAGTAATTCTATTCATGTCAACCAAACACTGGAATTTAAATTCTCATTTTATTCCTAGTAATTCAACTCCCATGGAATTACAATTTCTTTCAATTCCTACATAATTTTCCCCCTCCAACCAAACACCCTGTAAAAGTTTTAATAAGTGGGAGTCATGTAGTTAAACGTAGTATTTTCAGATCTAAAATGTTGGGAGAAGATCTAAAATGTAAACGTTTTGGGTTGGATATTTATTGTGTTGGCAAGATTTCATAATCGGTGTAATACACTCGTAAAGCACAAGACATTTCCGCACGTTTGGTGACTTGGTGTAATCTGTGATTTTAAGGAAATTAAAGACGTTCATTTATTTGATTTGCGTAAATTAATAATTGATGAGTCATTGACGAGTCAGCCATTAGACCCGTAAACGTTATTGATTCTTTGTGTTTCAATAGGTTGAAAACATATATGAACAAATATTACATTGTAATAGAGCCAGTAGCATTAAAAAAAAAAAAAGTTCATTCATTTGATTTGCATAAATAATAATTGATGAGTCAGCCATTAGACCCTTATTAAAGATAGGTATCTCTTGGACCTATTTACATATTTTTTAAAAAATATTACTCATCTAAATCTCTTGAATTGGATAGACTCGAACTAAATTTTATGCAAATACTTCTTCAAATATTAAGTTTCATAAGCTTACATTCAAAAAAACTTCATAAAAATAAAAGTTTTTTTTTTTTTTTTTTTTTTTTTTTTTTGTTTGAGAGCATAAAAATAAAGGTTTACCGTTTACAATCTAATTAAACATAATAAAATGTTAAGTGTTTTAAAAATTTACATTCAAAAAAAATCATAGGAAGGGTTCATCATGGTATGATCGAGGGGAGAAGTCAGATATCAATTTTAGGTTAAAGAAGAGAGGTCTAATTTTGTCTTAATGTTGAATAGGGAAAATGGCGAGTGATGGATATCCATTAAGATAACACTTGATCATTGTCTTAAAAAATGTTAAACACGTAATCCTAAAAGTTCCTGATTTCCCTTACTAAACATAATGGTAATCAAACCATAACTTTTGAAATACAAGAATATCAAATTTCTCATGTTATTTTTAGGACAAATTCACCAAGGTAGTAACTTGAGATTTTTAGTACGTAAAATTCTTCATATGCAATATATGAAAATTATATATATATATATATATATATATATATATATATATACTAGTTTTTTACGCGAATTGCGCGATTGAGATAATGCCCAATATTTTTTTAAATAAGTACTCTAAAGTATATAAATGCAAGATTATATTGGAATTGTTCATGCATAGATACTTGAATGTTGAATTTGCGTATTTAAATAGGTAATTCTAAGTTTACAAATGCAAGATAATATAGTCAAAATTGATTATAATTGTCAATAAAATAATTGTATAGGTATGGTTGAAACCAAATACGGGACATAAGGGAGAGCAAATAAAAATTAAGGCACAAAATATTAAATATATACTAATATTGAAGAGCTAACTGCTAATTGCCAAACAAGGACATTACAAGGTAGTTTTCCACTTCAATTTGTTGTGTAAATGATTTAAATACTCTTTTTGTCAATAAATCCCCAAGGTAGTTTTTTTTTAATGCTACTGGCTCTATTACAATGTAGTATCTGTTCCCCAATGTAGTATCCCTATGGTAGTTAATATGATTGGTTTAATTTTATATTTATATATATATATATATATATATATATATATATATATATTTTAAACAATTATTATTATTATTATTATTATTATTATTATTATTATTATTATTATTATTATTAGGTCATTTTACATGGTAATCTAAACAGCTAATTTTTTCAAATATCTTTTTACCAATCGTTGATATAATTCGCTGATCAAATTCGTTAATATAATCCGCTAACGCTAATCGTTAACTGCTGATTGTCAAACAAGGACATTGCGAGGTAGTTCTCATTTTTTGTTGTGAGATTTGAATACTCTCTTTGTCAACAAATCTCTCAAGTAGTTAATATGATTGGCTTTATTAATTATATTTTTTTTAATTTTTTCATGGTATTAATAAAATACTTGGTAAATAACTATATAACATTATTTGTATTATAACTTTGATATTTAATTAAAAAATAATGCACAAAAAAAATAATAGACAATGTAGTGAATATAATCAATTGATGAATTTGAATGTAAAGAATTTTTACATTGGAGAAATATAAAGACAATATAACTAATAAAATTATTTCTTTTAATTAATTTATTGATAATGAATAATTTTTTTTTTTAATAAAGACATTGTAGGGATAATGTAGCGAATATAATCAATTGATGAAATTGAATGTAAAGAATTTTTATATTGGAGAAAAATAAAGACAATATAACTAATGAAATTATTTATCTTATTTAATTTATTGATAATGAATAATTTTTTTTGAATAAAGACATTGTAGACACATAATTCTAAATTAAAGAAATGCATATATATGCATGTATTATTTTTTGTTGTAGCTACTAAATTATTATTTTAATTTGATAAGAGTAAAATAGAGTACTAATTATGTCAACTTTGATTGGGATGGAGTTCGAACCTAAAATCTTTCTTATTGAAATCAATGAGTAAGTTAACGGTGAACTAACAGAAATTAACGGAAAATATAATATTTAACGGAAAAGTTAACGGAAAATCATATTCATTAAGGATAAATTAGTAAATCTTAAGGAAAAATTAAAATCTGATCAATCTGAGCCATTCATTTGATTAAAAAATTTGACCGCCATTTTTTCTACCCATTATAGGCCTAACTCTCTTGGGCTCTTATTAGTATAGTAGAAAAATTTGACCGCCATTTTTTCTACCCATTATAGGCCTAACTCTCTTGGGTTCTTATTAGTATAGTAGATATATCCTCTGTCTTCTTAAAAACCAAAGTGATGAATGATGAACCTAAGACTCAGTTATGAAAATTCTAAAAACTTTTATAACTTCTAAAAATGATTATTGACTAAACTACTGCATACGAAAAATTTTTACATACTAAAAATCTCAAAGTTATTCCGTTGGTGAATTTATCATAAAAGCAACCTGAGAAATTTGACATCATTTTGTATCTCAAAAGTTCTGGTTTGATTATCTATGTTGCTTAGTAAAGAAAATTGAAAATTGATAGGATAGTGTGTTTCACATGTCTGAAGAGTGAAGACAATGATCAAGTGTTTCTTTGTTTGTGCTAAGTCTTAAGTTTGTTATACGAGAGCCAGGTTCCTAACAAGTCATACTAAAGTTATTGAAATGCTTTTAGAATTGAATAATCTTGAAATAAGAGGCTAAGAAGTGAAAAATAATGTTGTGAAAGTAGTTTTGATATAAGGAGAATAAAATGTGAATTTCCTACTTTACCCCTCAAATTTTAAATATTTTGTAATTTTTTCATCAATTTTAACGATCGGGGGCCAAATGCGTCACTTCGTTCATAACCGAGGGACTAAAACTGCATACAGTAATAACTCAGGGATTGAGTCAGAACTTGGGTATAACTCATGGATCAAAGATACAATTTTTCCTTTTTTTATTATTATTCCTAAAAATCATGGGATTGATACCAAGAAAATTGTAATTCTGCAGATTTGTTTTTACAAGAATGTAGGTATAGTACATGTGAATTATGATTCAGTTGTAAAGAAAAAATGCAAATCCAGCTGGGGTGTAATGCGTTTTGGAGTGAGAAATTTTCGTCTGCAAGAAAAAGTTGAAACATTCACTGTCATAATCACTGTCCAATCTAGGAATATCTAAATCCTTTTAGAATAACTGTCACCTATATAATTGGAAGAAAATGAAAAACACAAACAGAGAGAAAAATAAATTATTATAAATTGTAAAAAACAGATCAGCGATCCACGTTCATCGCTCACAATCACCCTATTTTGAACTGGTTTTACGATCCCATCATCCCTTCTTCTTATTCAGGTTTGTGAAGCCTCAATGTCGCGTTTAATTGCCTATACTTTTATACATTGTCTGTTCTGAATACACAGTTCCTGTTCCCCCCTTTGCTATTCTCTCATTCTTTCTGTTCTGGGTGGTTATTGGAGAAAGGGGCATATGATCCGAGATTGTAAGAAAGCTGTCGTTTTTGCGACCCGATTTTGTATTGGGTTGTGTTAGTGTTTGCATGTTTGGAAGATTCCTGCATTATATTCAGAGATTCGATTCGTGAATAGGATTTCTGGGTTCTATTTGAATATCTTCATTATTTCCATGCATACAGATATTGGATTCTTGCTCCACAAAATACTTTGTTAAAGGTATACTGAGAGAGAGAGAATTCAATTCATTGAGGATGAGCGGAGCTGTGCTTGTTGCACTCGCTGCTGCCATTGGTAACCTGTTGCAAGGATGGGACAATGCAACTATTGCAGGTATATATATATTGTTGATACTGTTGAGCATATAACCATTAATGTGCAATCCAACTATCAGCTTAGCTTAGGCTTTTAGTTGAGATGGAGCATATGTTTCAATTTGGTATCAAAGCCATATAACCAACTATCAGCTCAGGCTTTTAGTTGAGATGGAGCACATGTTTCAATTGATATGATAGTTCTGTGAGTTTCTTTTCTATCCATGATAGTTGAATATTTTTTTCTCAATGTGTAAAAGAGCCTTGATAGATCTGATGGGTATTTTTCATGTTGGTAATTATGCAGTGTTTCAAGTATAGTACAGTAAGTTTTCTTTTTATATGAAATCATGGTTTTTGAAAGGAGATTTCTTGAGTGTGTTTCAGGATCTCTCCTTTACATCAAGAAGGAATTTCATTTGGAAACCCAGCCAACCATGGAAGGGCTAATTGTTGCGATGTCACTGATCGGAGCTACAATAATCACGACGTTTTCTGGACCTGTATCTGATACAGTAGGACGGCGTCCATTGCTCATAGCTTCATCTGTTCTGTATTTCCTTAGTGGGTTGTTCATGCTGTGGGCTCCAAATGTTTATACCTTGCTTTTGGCAAGGCTACTGGATGGATTTGGAGTTGGTCTTGCAGTCACACTTGTTCCAGTCTATATCTCCGAAACGGCTCCTCCAGAAATAAGGGGGTTATTGAATACTTTTCCCCAGTTAACTGGCAGCGGTGGGATGCTTTTTTCGTACTGCATGGTCTTTGGAATGTCGTTGAACGAATCACCGAATTGGAGGGTAATGCTTGGAGTTCTTTCGATTCCTTCTCTTGTTTATATCCTTTTGGCGATATTCTACTTGCCTGAATCGCCTAGGTGGCTTGTCAGTAAAGGGAAGATTAAGGAAGCTAAGAAAGTTCTGCAGCAATTGCGTAGCAGAGAAGATGTCTCAGGTTTGTGTTCGGCTGTTGAGTATATAACCATTAATGTGCAATCCAACTATCAGCTTAAGCTTTTAGTTGAGATGGAGCATATGCTTCAATTTCTGCAACTCAATGCATTTTTCTGCATTCAATAGTGTTTATACATTTATTTTCCATGAATGGTTAAACTGATATTATCTGCTGAGCTTAGAGAATGTGTCTTTTTCCAGAGGACTATTTTACCTTACCTAGAGAAAAATGCAAATTTTTTCGAGTAAAACCTTTTAGAATTTTGTAGTCCGAAACGAGGCAGCTGAAGTAAGTGTCAGGTCCCCTTGAACCCTCTGTCTTTAGTGCAGTTTGTCCAAACAGATGCATCATCAAACTGGCTTTGCTTTAATTTTTTCGATCTCAAGAAAGATTGAGCTTTTCTATAACTGAAAATGGCCCGCTTTTATCTATAGGTGAAATGGCCTTGCTGATGGAAGGTCTAGATGTTGGAGGCGATGTATCTGTAGAAGAGTATATTATTGCACCAGACAACGACCTTGATGACAACCAAGAACAAGTAGTAGACAAGGATCAAATTAAGTTATATGGTGCTGAAGAGGGGCAATCGTGGGTGGCAAAACCTGTCACCGGGCAAAGTGCTCTTGGCCTGGTTACCCGTCGTGGAAGTATGGCAGCGTCTCAGAGCTCTTTTATAGATCCTATGGTCACTCTCTTCGACAGTGTACATGAGAAGCTACCCGAGAATTCAGGAAGCATGAAGAGCATGCTGTTTTCGAATTTTGGCAGCATGTTCGGTGTGGCTGAGAATAAAACCGAAAATTGGGATGAGGAGAACCAAAGGGAGGGGGATCGTAATGTATCCGATGATTCTGGGAACGAGTCCGATGACAATCTAAGGAGCCCACTCCTCTCACATGAAGACACAAATGCAGGAAAGGATATGGAGGCAAGACAAGGAAGCACCCTTTCGCAAGTAAACGAGGACAATGAAGTGAGTAGTGTTGGTATCGGTGGCGGTTGGCAGCTGGCCTATAAGAAAGACGAGAGAAAGGAAGGAGCACTCCGAAGGATTTATTTGCATCAGGAAGGTGGCGGTGGATCACGGCGTGGCTCCATGGTCTCCCTCACTGGTGGTGATAACCCTGCTGCAGATGGCGAATGTGTTCATGCCGCTGCTCTAGTCAGCAAGTCAGTTCTTCGGACATCGGACATAATGGGTCAAATACCTATCGAAGAAGCAATGGTGAAAAAATCCAAGCCCACCCCAGCTAAAGAACCTGGCTGGAAGGAGCTCTGTGAGCCTGGAGTCAAGCATGCACTTATTGTTGGTGTAGGACTTCAAATACTTCAGCAGGTAATTAACCATTTTGATATATAAAACATTTCTAGATAGTAATATGGTCAAATTGCTATTAAGTTTAATTTGTTTGAAGCATGGTTTCTTTTCCTGGTTATCTATATCTAATTCATGCTGTGATTGACCATTGCTCAGTTTTCTGGAATAAACGGAGTTCTCTATTACACGCCTCAAATTCTTCAACGTGCCGGTGTTTCACTTCTGCTTGCACATTTGGGTTTGAGCCCAGACTCGGCATCTATCCTCATTAGCGCTGCCACAACGCTTTTGATGCTTCCCGCCATAGGTGTTGCAATGAAACTGATGGACCTTGCAGGCAGGAGGTAATATTGAATTTTATTTTAATAATAATGACCAATTATGTTCTTGAGAGATCAGTGTTGAGAGCATATAACCATTAATGTGCAATCCAACTATCAGCTTAGACTTTTAGTTGAGATGGAGCACATGCTTCAATTATTAGAAGATTTCCATTTGCTTTAAATTCAATTAAACACACATTGGACATTGGTTTGAGTCTGTCGTCGTGGCAGGTGGCTTTTGCTCACGACTTTGCCAGTCTTGTTTCTATCACTTGTGACGCTAGTCCTGGGGAGTTCGATCGATATGGGGCAAGTGGTGAATGCGGTTGTATCCACGACTGGCGTCGTCTTCTACTTGTGCTGCTTTGTGATGGGGTATGGCCCGATCCCTAACATCCTGTGCGCTGAGATCTTCCCCACCCGAGTTCGTGGCAAATGCATTGCGATATGCGCTCTCACATTTTGGATTTGCGATATCATTGTCACGTACTCGCTCCCTCTAATGCTCTCTTACTTTGGTCTGCGTGGAGTGTTCGGGATCTACATGGTTGTGTGCGCGGTTTCTTGGGTTTTCGTGTTCTTGAAGGTTCCGGAAACAAAGGGCATGCCCCTTGAAGTCATCACAGAGTTCTTTGCTGTTGGTGCAAAGAAAACAAGTGATTAAATACCTTTTGTCTCCATGCATCATTTCAAGGGGAATTCAGCTTACTGTGAAAACCAGAGGGCATCTAGGATTGAAAATATTGAAGATTTTGTGATTAAGAAGAAAGATATGATGATCAAAGAGGAGAACAGAGAACTCAACAACAAGCTCTCATAATTTTTCTTCAAAAAATTTATTTATTTTGGTTTTTCTGGCTTCTTTTTTATTTTCTAAACCTTGTTTTTCCCACAAATCCTTCAGTTGGGCTTGCTAAGAATATAATGTAATCCAAATGTGGACAGAAAAAATTTGTTGTGTTGATTTCTTGAGATTTTGATGAATACAGACAACATTTGCATTTGTTAATCATTTATGTTCTTGCCTTTTACTCCCAGCATCCTTAGTGGGTTAACTTCATTAATTCCTGGAAACCTTATCATTCTGGGCAGGTCAAATCTTTGGCCTCTTGTACCCGCACCCACTTTCTTACCTTTATGCACTCCACAAACCAACCAATGTGTGATGTGTCCATTCTTTAGACACAAAAATGACAGTTGGCCTATAAATCAACAATCACTTTTTATCTGCAATCTCTACTTAGCCGTAAATCCTGACCTTCATGCTCAAGAAAATTAATTAATAACTCATATGGCCTGGCGTGGACAAGATGACGTAAATCTCTTTCGCCTTGTTCAAAAGTTTCGAGTTTAATCAGACATCTCAAGTTTGAGCCCTGAAAATACAGACGTCTCGAGTTTGAAGCCTGAAAATACAGTCCTAGAGTTTCTATACATACAAGTTTGAGACCTGAAAATACAGTCCTAGAGTCGAGTTTGAGCCCTAGAGTCTTCTATACATACAAGTTTGAGACCTGAAAATACAGTCTTAGAGTCGAGTTTGAGCCGTGAAAATACAGTCCTAGAGTCTTCTACACATACAAGTTTGAGCCCTGAAAATACAGTCCTAGAGTCGAGTTTGAGCCCTGAAAATACAGACGTCTAGAGTTTGAGCCCTGAAAATACAGTCCTAGAGTCTTCTACACATACAAGTTTGAGCCCTGAAAATACAGACGTCTAGAGTTTGAGCCCTGAAAATACAGTCCTAGAGTCTTCTGCACATACAAGTTTAAGCCCTGAAAATACAATCCTAGAGTCTTCGACACATACAAGATTAATTTTATTTTTAATGTGCGGGGTTTTAGTGTATTCTATTGAGGAAACATGTGATCGACAATTAAAAAAAAAAAAGAAATTTAATACTAAGTTGTTTTGTGTTTTTGATGCTGTCACACACTCACCCTGCAATTAGATGAAGATTAGTTTGGCAGTGGTAGGCAAATAATTACTCCATTAATCAAAGATTATTTGATTATTTTATAGAGTTGGGTATGAGAGTTGGGACTTGGAAGTGGGTTTAATAATAATAATTTATTATAGAAAAAGCGAAAAGTATCTTGTATATATTTACTTTCTTCTTTAACAAGTAAGATATTTTAGTCTCATCAACCTTTTTGCTTGGATGGATAACCTTGGCTTTGTCAATTGTCATGTATCCTTTTCACACTGTGCTTTGCTTCCAACTTGAGATATAGATATAGATACACTGATATTATATACAGTCTGCCAATTTGTCACTAAAACAAGTTGTTATTAACATAGTTGCTGTTATAGATCAGACAGGCAGTTTGTCACTAAAACAAGTTGTAATTAACATGGATGGAAATTAGGTTGTAGTTACAGACTGTCAATTTTGTCACTAAAACAAGGTGTAATTGTCATGACAGTGGATGCAGGTCACATTACAATGCCACACAGATCTTTCCACCCACTTTTTTTTTTGGCTTCTTTACATCTTCTCCAACTTTAACAAAGTTACATACATAAAGTTGGCATAGCATTGCCCGCAGTATAGACTGTGCAGTCGCTTATGAGTGGCATTGCTCCTTCTCAACTAAAAGCCTAAGTTTATAGTTGGATTGCACATTAATGGCTAGATGCTCACAAAGGTGTGGGGCACTGGGAGCGAGGACTTTGTGTTTCGTGGGTAATGAATCTTGTGGCTAATCAAGGCAAGAAAAGCAGGGACTTAGATGCCTAGGATGTTGGGCGGGCATTCATGTAAAGCTAAAAAGAGTGGTTGCAGTTTGCAGATGTAGCTAGCAATATGGTCGAAGACATTAATAATATTGTTTGGCAGAAATGTAAAGGTGGTTTGAGGTTTGAAGGTATCTTTTTGGTGAAAAAAAATTAGCGTATTTTGTGAGCAAGATCTAATGAGTGTCTGGGTGGATTGGGAATCCGAATACCAATTATTATAAAATGCCAAAAGGGACGGAAAGTAAAGGAAAGGCATCACCCATTTTCTTCTACCTTTCACTTCTTGATATATATATATATATGTATGTTAGACAACGTATGGTGAGATAAGAGTCATTGATCTTGATGAATTTAATTAATTCGGTGTAGTTCGAATTACTAAACCCGATAATAATAGGACTAGGATAATGTGGTAATAAAGGCAATAAATGTGTGTAGGAGAATTACAAGGTGAAGGTAATAATAAAACTAAGAAGTAGTTGTCCTTAACAAGACAATGATCCCTCTTTTTATATTAGCAAACCTCCCAACCGCCCCCCTCCCCCCTCCCCCCCTTATTCTCGCGAGACGGTTGGATCGCAGTTTAACCGAGTCCACGCGGGTACCCGGGGCAGTCTTCTGCCCCTGGGTCGAAGTAAGCTCTGGCCGAGGTCGCCCCTGGCCGGGCCGCGATTGGCCCCTAGCCGAGGCCTTGGTCGGCCCACGCTGGGGCCGCTCTTGGCCCCTCGCACCACGCCTTCCCGGGTCGGTTCGTCCCGAGCCCATGCCTAATATACCCATCAGATCGATCTTGCTAAACTCAACATCCAGGATTAATAAGAATTTTTAAAAAAGGCTACAATTTGGTCATTTTTCGTATTGGTCAAACTTAAGGTGTGTAGTTTTTGTACTTAAGGTGCGTCATGTTCTTTATTAAGGTACACGGTTTCTGTGTTTAAGGTGCGTCAGTTATTCAATGAGAACTTAATGTGCGTTTTTGTTGAAACTTAAGGTGTGTCATTCTAAACCTTTAGGTGCGTCTTTCCATAGCTTAAGGTGCGTCATTTTAACATTTAAAGTATGTCAGTTATAAACTTAAGGTGCATGAGTTTTATGTTTAAGGTGTGCTATTTTTATACTTAAGGTGCATGATTTTACTATTTAAGGTGTGTCTTTCCATAGCTTAAGGTGCGTCATTTTAACATTTAAAGTGCATCAGTTATACACTTAAGGTACATAAGTTCTATGCTTAAGGTGCGTCATTTTTATACTTAAGGTGGGTCTTTGTAACACTTAAATGTGTGTCTTTGTAACACTTAAGGTGCGCCAATTTTAGCATTTGCTTCTTATCTCCAGACGCGCGTTTTTTTTTTTTTTTTTTAATTTCATTGATTTGAGCCGTTGATCTAGATTTGATCAACGGCTCAGATCTCGTTCGCACTTAGGACATCATTCGCACATAATCTCATCCATATATATATACTAGTCGTGGACACGCGCTTTGCGCAAAACGTCATGCCCAACAATCAATTAGTATGTTCTAATTTTTTATTTTTTATTTTTAAAACGAGTAAGTTCTAATTTTTAAATAATAATATATATAATTTTTAATAATTGTTATATGACAAAATAAATAAGAATACATAAATAAGTTATTTAGATACCAACATGATATACAAGAATTGAATTAGGAACATGCGGGAGGACATTAGATTTGATTTTGAGGGAGAGAATGGAGATGTTAGCTAGAATAATGTAGTGATTTTTTTTTTAAAAAATTGTTTAAAAAAAAAAAAAAGAAAAAAATCACATCAAGACAAAGAGGAAGAAGACAAAAAAATAATGGTAAAGTTGTTATTTCTTTAAAAATTGAGGGCAATTAAAATGAAAAAATAAATAAATAATTAGATAAAAAATTTCATCCATTAGATTTGAAATCAATGATAAGCAAGGAATATCATTTTTAAGGGGTAAATGGCAACTCCCAAATATAAGTTTAGGAAATATATATATATATATATATATATATATATATATATATATATATATATATATATATATATATAATGTGTGTGTGTGTGTGAAGTGAAATCTTGATGTCTTCCCAATTATTCCTTTATTTTTGAAAAGGATATTGTTTTCGTTAAATGAGCTCCCACTTCCCAATATAAAGTATATCTTGCAAAATACAAGGTATAACATTATATAACACACGCAACATTGTAATTTGCAGCATTGTAATGGCCTCATATATTAAATACCTCGTATTGTAGTCTTTTAAGAGAGAATATAATATGACAATGTTATTATGGTCACTGGCTCGATCTAATTAAAATAATGCTGAAAACTACATACGAATATATAATAGTTTTCTAAAATAAATAAATGACCTATAAGGTACGGTACTCACAGCAGCAACTTAGAACTTTCACTAAATTTGTACTCCGTATTTTAGCCAAAGGATCTCAAATGCCAAAGTGCCAACATTCTAATTTGTTTTAATCTATCCATTAAGAAACATAATTGTTGTACGAGACTCAAAACCCAATAACGTGATTCTGCATTATTTATCTGTAAATCAATTGATTTTACTGTAAATTAAGCAGCATTAATCTATGTAAATCTAGAGTAATGCATCCATTAATACACGCTAATAAAATCCTCGTTCAGCTACAATATTAGGTGAATTATGACCAAACTCATTAATTTAAGAGTTACCAAACATGTTAAGTTTTTAATTTGTATGTACAAAAATAAGTATTATAAGTCCGTACGAATTTAACTAACTGGTTCAGTAGGTAAATATTTGAGAGAAAATGAAGAGAAAAAACACTACAACTAATACTAGGAGTAACTAATCCGTGATAACATCCGGAAAACTGCCCTTGTCCTTGCCCCGACCCGGAAGTCACATGAGATGAGATGAGAGCGAGCCGTCACATGGCCTTGCCGGAAATCACGGGTTACAGGCGTGGGTTGTTGGGTCCCACAAGTCAACAGAATTGTCCCGATACAGTTTTTACGGTTACGGCTTTACAGTGGAGGGGATCGGGGCCCAGCTAGCTATACCAGAAAATTAGCGCCGCCGCCGCCGCCGCAGCCGCGGCGGAGCTGAGTTTCATCTCCGGCAGCGGGGATTGGCGGGAACTCCCCTCCGCCGCACTTCCTGCAGCGAGCGACGATGAGGATCTGTCGGCACGACGGGCAGGAGGAGTGGGACCCCAGCCACGTGTCGATACACTGCACGTGGAACCCGTGGCCGCACTGCGGGAGCATTCGGATCTCCTCCCCCTCGGCGTACTCCGCCAGGCATATCGCGCAGTCCGCCGCCAACTGCTTCCCGCCGTTCTCGGCGACGAAAGCGGCGCCGTACACGAACTTCGGCAGCGATTGGAGCACCTTCTTCTTCAGGCCTTTGTTCGCCGCCGGGTGCCCTCTCGCCCGCACGTTCTCCCCGCCGCCGCCTCTCCTCAGCCACGCACACCGAGCAACCGCAATAAGCCCTACCACACAAATCAACGCGCACAGCAGCGCCGCCAGTATAACCACGAAATCAGATTCCACAGTCACCTCAGACGGCGGATCCGCCACAGACGGCGGACCTGTCGACGAATTATTGCTTGATAGAAATCTCCGTGCAATCGCCATATATCATATCAACTGTTAATCTTTACTTCACTTTCTCAGTTTCTTCTCCAAGAGAGAGAGAGATATATATATACATATATATACATATATATTATATATATAGGTAAGAGTGCGAGGCATAATTTTGTCCATTAATGAGGGTACTTAAGATGGTGAACATGTGGTAGGATGAGGTTGCTGTTGAGGTGGTATGTTTCCATCCTACTCGCGAGAGTATAAGAAAAATCATGTACTCTCTTCCGATTGATGCCACGTTTACGCTTGAAATTGTAATTAAATCTAAGTTTCCAGACATAATATAACCTTAATTAATCATTGTGGGGTTAATTATTGTGTCAAATTGTCAAAAGAGAGTCTGAGTGGAAGTGGAACACTCTTTTATATGGCGGCTTCTCTCATCCACCGCTAAAAAGTGTATATAATATTCCTCTTTCAGATTATTTGATCGATATAAATGATTTTATGAAATACATACGGAATATATCTTTATTTTGAGTTTCATGGAAAAAAATAACTTTAATATAAATTTAGAGTTTAAATTTACTTATATCATTAATTTATACATTGATTCGGTTTAAATAAAATTGTTTGAATCCTAAACGGAGAATTTAATATTTAGTTTTCAAATTTTCTATTTATGAGCCAAAAGTTCTATATTCGAGTCATAAAATGCAATTATTTTAAAATTTATGAGAAAGTATCATTTAAATTTCAATTCCTAAAATTTTGCATATAGATTTAATAATAGAATATTAGAACATAGTTAATTTATTTATAATTTAATGTCTTATTATTAGTAGGGCAAATCTTCCTATCTCCCTACAATATCTAAAAACAAAATCATGAACTTTAACTTCCCTCCAAAATCCTAAAAAATCTCTCTTTGTAATAAAATATATTATTTTCTATTTTTCTATTCGTACTATAATTCTAGGTTAAAGTTCATATTCTAATATGATAAAATAGTAAAATACAATTCCTAATAGAATATATTGTTTCCTACTTTCATATTTGTACTATAATTCTATATTAAAATTTCTATTTGTAATACAAAATATATATATATATATATATATATATATATATATATATATATATATATATATTAACAGAACGAAAAATAATAATAATATATGTGGTAATTAATAATAATATCTAAAAGTAATTATGTGTTAATAATAATAAGAATATTAACGTACAAAATATGACGGTGACTCAATGATTCAGTAGACAAGGCCAAATGTTGGTGCGCACAAGGAATCTGTCCACTTTGGATATAATTTCCACACTGTCGCTGTCGAGGTTCAAACCTTGGTCTCTTGTCCTAAATACTACCCACTAAACAATTGAGCTAAACCAAGGACCTTGTGGTCCAATGGTATTCGGTTGCTCCTCTAAGTGGGAAGTGATAGGTTCAAGCCTTATTGGAGGTACTTAGTAATTTGGGTATCCCCCTTCCCTTGTAAAAAAAAAAAAAAAAAAAAAAAAAAAAAAAAAAAAAAACCATTGAGTTAAAATTCTTATTCTAATATTATAAAAAAATCTATCTATACTATCTTATACAATATATATATATATACAAAATCCTGAAATTTAAGCTTAATTCATAAAAAATCTCTCTTTTTAATAAAATATATTGTTTTATACTTTTCTATTCGTACTATAATTCTAGGTTAAAATTCTTATACTTCTCCCAAATTAAAATTATTATTCTTTTTTTTTAATGCTATTGACTCTATTACAATGTAGTATCTGTTCATATACTTTCTCAACCTACTAAAATACAAAGAACCAATAACGCTTCCACTGAGGCTCAAACTCACAACCTTCCAAATGAAAGTCTAACCCGGGTTCATTAGACCACATAGTCTTGATAAAATTATTATTCTAATATTATAAAATAGTGTAATTCAATTCATATTCTAATCTATACTATATATAAAAACAAAATCCGATCCTGAACTTTAACTTCCTGTCCAATTCTTAAAAAAATCTCTCTTTCTAATAAAATATATTGTTTTCTACTTTTCCTATTCGTACTATAATTCTAGGTTAAAATTCCTATTCTAATATGATAAAATAGTGTAAAACAATTCCAAATAGAATATATTGTTTACTACCTTTATATTCGTACTATAATTCTATATTAAAATTCATATTTGTAATACAATAGGACTATATATATATATATATATATATATATATATATATATATATATATATATATATATATATAAAAGTAAAATCATCCTTCTTGTATTTTTCGGCACAAACTCATTGTATTGGCCAAATTATTTAATTATGGTACATATAGACATTAGCTATTAATTTGAGCAATTATTTGCACAAATTCAAGCAATGATAACATCAAAATACATTAACGATTCAAATCATATATTTAATTGCACTATATAATATTTGATGTTCTAATTTAAATAATTATATATCGATTCAAATATTCTTAATATATTACAACAAATCCATTCCGTGCATCGCACGGGTGAAAATACTAGTTATATTATAGACTATATACCTACCGTTAACAAATTATTATGTGTTTGTAAATAAATTAAGGGAAAATATCATTTTTTTTCCCTGAGTTATATACTTATAGCACTTTTTCCCCTGAATTATTCAAGTGGCTGACCCCCCCCCCCCCCCCTCTCCTCCTCTCTGAATGATCGAAATAACAAAACATAACAAAAAATTGATGATTTTGTTAGGACTGGGTATAGAAATAGGAGCCAAACTAGGTGTTCCTATTAGAAATTAGTATCGTGACCACCAAGTAAGGATCAAGTTAAGAGATGATATCTTAAGAGGAAATACAGGAATCTATTTAGTGTAAATATCTGCTTAGATGCTCAACAAATGTACGACTCTAGTTTGCTTTCATTCTCGGTCATACTATACACATGTTCACCATTACCTGAATATCATTGATCTTCACAGAGTAATAGAGCATTCTCCCTTCTAATACATGATATCTTGACTGGTTTATTGCGCCATCAACTTTATAACTAAAACCAAAAATTTTGAAGGATTTGATTATTGTCGACTTTTTTTTCTTTCTTTTTTGCCAACGCCTAGGTATCAGTCAAAATCATATCGTATCATTTAATTGGGGTCTGAAATGGATGTTTGATATAAAAAGTCATACTCCAAATCTGATATATGTAGAATGGTGAGATGAATGCGGGTGGGATCTGACGGGGGCGGCGCCCAGTGGTCTGGAAAACCACCTTGGGACTTCGCAATTGAAACTGGAATCTGTGAACGGTCCAAAAGCAAATTAAAGTGGACAAAATGGTATGATACCATTGTCACAACCAAACACGTACCAAATTCCCTTGCCTTATTTTATTGACCTTCCAGTTTTACTTATCATTGGATTTCGATTGCGTTGTTATCATTCCATTCCACAACACTGATTTCTACAAATCTCTCCTAACATTATAGCATCCTTATCGATCAGGGATATTAGGGGAGAATGTAAGAGTGAACAGAAAGAAAATAATGTGGGAAGAGAGGAAAAAAAAATCAAAACTGATTTAAAAAAAATATATAAAAAATAAGCATGTCAGAGAAATTCATTTTCTCTATTGATTCTCTATTTTCCATCATTAACTAGAGTAATATTCCAACATTTGCAGATGCTCCCCACCCCTTCTCTCTCTGTCACCGTGACGTTTTAACCTCAAAAGTAGTGAATTCTCTCCCATTTCTCCTCTGATGTAAATGCTCTTAATCGGTTAAAATAGTATCGAATTCATTTTTGTTTCTCAATTATACTTAGTATTTTTTAAAACTTTTTCTGTTGAATTTAGAAAGACAGGTATTCTGGTGACATCCTAAATAGATGGTCATACTTTCGAATCTCGATGGTGAGAGTTTATATGTTATTTGTGCTGAAAATGTTTGAAAAAAGCTACCACTGGCTACTGTATCTATCTTGGTGAAGCCTTGATTTCTTGGAGGACTAAGAAGCAACCCACAGTATCAAAATCTTCTTCTGAGGCTGAGTATAGAGCTTTGGCATCCACTGTGTGTGAAATTCAGTGGCTTCACTATCTATTAGCAGATCTGAGCATCACTTTTTCCAAGCCAACTACTTTATTCTGTGATAATTTGTCTGCTATTGCCATAGGGGAGAATTTTGTCTTCCACGAACGTACCAAACACATTGAAATTGACTGCCACATTGTTAGGCAGAAGGTGCAAGAAGGACTCATCAGATTGTTGCCAATTCCATCTCATCAGCAGATTGCAGATGGATTTACAAAGTCTCTGCCCCTGCCAGCTTTTCATACTTTCCATTCTAAGCTGGGCCTTCATAACATTCATGCTCCAGCTTAAGGGGGGGTGATGGACTATCAATATATTGACAAGGGCTTTGTAGTCTTTTCCAATCTTTTGTCAGTTATAATTGTCAGCTAGCTTCCCCCTTCGTTTATATATACTGTTCTATTCTTTCCTTTGGCTGCTGTAAGAGAAAAAAACGGTTCCATGAATAAACAGGTGATGGTTTCCTTTCTCCTGCTCTCTGTTCCAATCAGTTCATAGTGAGTAGAAGTGTTTGTTGAGCCGCAATCAATCCAACAAACAAATACTACATTAAAGAACAAGTAATAATTTTCACTAAAAATATACTACTTATTGATTTATATTTGAAATTCATATCTCGTGAGATTGTTTTAAACATTTTTTCTTTTAATTTTAATGTTTTTACAAATTAGAGGAGCTGAGCTATTGACTCAAATTGAAGGGAAATTTTATGGTGTTGTGTTTTAAGCAAGCTAATGTTACCCGATGTAGTAGAAGACAAGATAGTTTTAAAGTTGGTAAAATTTAAGTTATTTAAATAGGTAATTTAAACAAAACAAAACAAACAAAAAAAGTTTTGTAAGGGGAAGAGAAATAATAATTTAAAAATTGTAGTGAAAAAAGATACTTTGCGGGGCGAAAATATATAGTTGAGATATGAGAGGAATCTTTCTTTATAATGAATGGGGACGATATGTGATGTGACGGAAGCGATTTAAATAAACATCAAAGAAGAAATGAAGAATTGCGTGAATAAGAAAGATTT